CAATGGGACTGGAGACAATGATGAAAGATAAGCAAGGTCAGTTTTCTTACTGGAAAGCATAATATGTAGCTAATTTAAAAAACATCACATTCCATATATTTTTAAAGAATTCATCTCAGCTAATCGTATTCTGAAAAAAATTGATTCTAGCTATAATGATAGAAAAAAACAAGCAAACACAAACATCAAAATAAAAGGAGTAAATTTTCATGACTCTCATGCCTACCCCCAAAACAACAAAAATAAATCAGGCATCAAAAGTGTTCTCTCCGGTATTAAATAGCAAAAGAAAACGGAACTAGATACAGAATGTTGAATCAAATGTGTTGAGTCAGTAATTATATGCCTTTGAAGTGGCATACAAAATGCCCTGTATATTTAGAGATAGCTATTCTTTTATGTTAAAGAACTCAAAAATTGCTTTTCTATGGTTTGTTTTATTTTAACGTCTTCTTTAAATGACTATGTCCACATTCTTTTTTAGAACTTCACAGAAATAAAAATGGGCAGGTGGTAAAATCCATAAAAATTTTTAAAAGTATGCTTAAATGTTTTTCATAAATCTTAGAAAACTCAAAATAGAAAATAAGAACTTTTTATCTAAATGAATTTAATACAGATCAAGAGTATGTTGAAAATATGGAACAGTGTGGCAACCAAAGAATAAGCAATGTCTTAAATGGGGTACGCAAAGGTAGTAGTCCATTCTTGACTTTCTTACATCGAAGAAATATGGTAACAGAAGATTTTTTGACAATGGAAAGAAACCCCCCTGCAGCACTGGAGAAGATTAAGAAAAGAAGAAAGCATCGTTCCAGGAAACTAAGGAAATAGCCACAAGGCTTAAAATGGAAAGGGTAAGCCAGAATGGCATAAAAAATAGAGTATGCGACAGTTTTAACAGCGAGCGTCATGGATTAAAGCTACCCTGTTTGAAAATTTTGCTTTTATGCTGAAATCAAAATAAAAGACTATTAACAAAACAAAACTACACCAAATGTTGACAAATTAAAATGGTCATTTAAAGTGCAGCAGCAAAAGACTATGTCAGAGAAATCTGAACAACTATTTGTAAGAAGAAGCCGAATGAATAACTAATGAAACACTTATTTGGAGAAAGAAGTGCATGAAATGGAGCAAATTTCTAATGATAAAACGTGTGATGACTATAGAAGCTATGAACGTATTACACACTGAAGAGGACCAGGTCAAAGGATCTGTCCCCAAGCTGGCAGGGAGCGTGCCTGGAGGCTTAGCCTCCTGTCTGGGGGGCACATTTGAGAAAGGGAATAAAAAGCTGAGGCGCACTCAAGGATTCAAAGTCACTTTAGATGTCCAACCCGGAGGATGCAGACACAGGGCAAGAGGATGCTATCCTCAGATGTGTGACATATTTTCATGTAGAAAATTAATTAAATTAATTTGTATCATGGTCCCAGAGAGTAGATTTAGGACAAAAATCAAAGATAATGCATTGCTTCCAAAGAAAGAGTTTTGTGCTAGTTTAAAAGTCTATTCTGAAAGGGTATCTGATAGTCTGTCTGGCTGAGGAAATACTGAGGAGGCAATGCTGTCATGAGGCCCCCATCAGGGTGCTAAGAATACCTAGCATGTTGAGTTTTTGCCATGTGCTGGATATGAGTTACCTGATCTTATCCTGGCAGTAACTCTCTGTGGTAAGTGCTAATTTTGTAGTGAGGGAAAAGAGATGCAAGGAGAGTCAGGTATTTTTTTTTCAAGGTTACATGACTCGGAAGTGATAGGCTAGGACTTGAACCTACAGCATGACTTATTAAACATATTTAATGATATCAAAATGTTACCGTGATATTGATCAGCCAGTAAGAAAATTTTACCTCCACAACATTAAAGTAAATGACCGCTGTTTAGAGTTCTTCCTTTTAAAGAAATGTTCTTTATTATAGTCTCTGCATGGGCAAAGCTCATCTAGCTTTAAAAATTGATTTCATTTTTGAATTTATTTAACTCACTTTGAAAGAGAAGTAAATATATTATTATAGAAAATACCTACCAAGGTTTTCCAGTTTCTATTACTGAAGAATATGATCCAAAGTTCCCTAAATGTCACTGAGTTTAGGACAAGGCTCCTTCATCCCACACCAGCCCAAACTCACAGATGTCCAGTGTGACAAGACATTTTTAGGAGAAAGAATTACTCTGCACTCCTAACAGTCTCTGCTATGCCTACCATTGAGTAGTTGGCCCATCATTTCCATCATAGTATTCCTGCCTGAATGGTCTTGGACCTTATGCAATGACTAGGCAAGAATAAATAGCTAGAAGAGGTCTTCTAGCAGAAACTCCAAGTTGTCTTTAGATCTTGAACCTCTGTACGACATCTTTACCAGTTCTCATGTCATCTCTGACTCACGGTGAACCCATGGGTGTTGGCAGGGTAATATTGTACTCACTGGATTATCACTGGCTACTTTTTCTAAAGTAGATCACCAGGCCTATCTGCCTAGATGCCTTTGGGTGAACTCAAATTCTAACCATTTAAAAAATAATAATTTGGGGGAGATCTATTACAGATAGTATAACATTTCATAATTCAATTAGGTCAAGCATAATTGTACAGTTGCTACCACAGTCAGTTTCCAAACATTCTCTTTCTTCTTGAACTCTTTGTTATCAGCGCCCCTTTACCTCTTCCCTTTCCCACGCTACTACTCATGAGTCCTTATTATTCTTATTGTATATGTGGATTTTTGCTTTTGTTTTGCTGAATCTTAGCTCATCCAATATATCCATTTACCTACAATTCTGTTATTTGCCCCCCTCAACGGGAGTTTCTTACATTTGCTTGTGCACCCATTTTGCTTTCAGCAATAGTGTCTGGATGGTGATTATTGTACAGTGCCATATTACTAGACAGAGGGTTCTTGTGCTTATGTTAAGATTTAAGTAGAGGCCCAAAGTCCATCTGCTTCCTTGTTGTATTTACAAATATATATGTATATATATAGAAAGATACACCTATATTTATATATTTTCATATACACATATCTATATTTTACCTATATATAATTTTTACTTTCTTTTTCTTTCCCCTTTTTCTTTTTTATTTCCTTCTGCCCCACTGTCATGTTTACCCATCATCCACCTCTCAGTAAGTCCTCTCAGCAGTCATCATATTAACCATTTGCATCACACAGGGACGCCACCTGTCTCTTCTCTTTAACGTCCACATAATCTCGACTCAGCAGCCACATTAAAACTGGAGATGCAAAGGAGTGGCACACAGCAAACTCATGGCAGGGTACTGTTTTATTTGACCTTTATGATGGTGTTTGTTTGATTTGAATTTGAATCAAAACAAGCAAAGTCAGGAACCTACATAAAAATCCAGATATCTGGCATTTCTTGAGAAATCGGATGATCTGGCCCAGTAGGGTGGCACTGATGTCACATCATCTTGTTTGAAGGGTTGGTCTTCTGTTTGTCACTGTAACCTTGAAAGCAAGGGCCAGTGTCCCTTCTTGTTCCTTTTTGTGATTTCCTGTTGTTTTCTTTGTATGGAGAAACATTCTCACTTGTTTCTGTGTCAGAATGAAAGGACTCCGAGTCTGGGATAGCATACTCATATTTTCTTGGCAAAGTGAAGTAAAAAGCAGTATGATTCACAATTCAGTCATCTTCCATCTTTTTTTTTCCCCCTATACCTTCTTAGCCCCTTGAATCTCAACTCCTGATATAATTGCTTCTGTGGTGTATTGTTTTTTACCAAAAACTCACAACAAATCCTGACTCAGATGCTCTTCCAGAGCCTTGCCACACTTAGAACAGGGGTGAGGCCCTGGTTCCCTGTCCTTAGTCCGACAAACCTTTTATGACCGCCTTCATGAATACAGGGCAATAGACATCCCTGGGTTTCCAAGGCTAGCTCCAAAGAACATGGAGCTCTCTGTCCCAGTTCTTTTTCTCTTGGGACATTTGCCCATGGAATACAGCCACTATGTTGTGAGGAAGCCCAAGCTACATGAAAGTCCTCATGTGGGTTTTCTGGCCAATAACCCAAGCCAACATTAGAGCTGACAGCATCAAGTACTTGAAATGTAGGTGAAGACACCTGTGGGGGACCATTTGAATCTTTCCCATCAGGCATCTGGCATTGGGTAACTAAACAAACTTTTCCCCACCTTGCTCTGGCTAAATTACTGGCCTACAGAATCTGTAAACCTAACAAATGCAATTTTACACTAATTCATTTTTAGATCATTTGTTATACAGCTTTTGATACTAGGTCAACTACTTCTGAGAACGACCTCTCAGAGCTCATTCTACTGATGTTTTCTTTTTCTTTTCTTTTTTAAATCAATTTATTGGGGCTCATACAATTCATCACAATACATAGATCAATTGTGTAAAGCACATCTATACATTTGTTGCCCTCATCAT